GAGGGGGGGGGGGGGGGGGGGGTGTCACCAGGGATATTTAGGCATCATATAAGCAAAATTTGAATTTGTAAGTTTACAGTACAAAACATTCCCATAAGATTATGCATGAAAGGCATCATGGGTAGAATTCGGAATCATTTTATTTATTGGTAATGGGGACACAGCACAGGAACAAAAAGCTTTGTGCATTTTAAAGTCTGAAGCAACGTGCGCAGAGCGGATGAAAGCGCCCGTGACGTCCGCAGACAGAACGGGGAGTAATGGCGAGGTAGACGGAACGCTGGGAAGGCCTTTGATGTCCGGGCCAACTTTTCAGACATGAAAGCCAATGAGCGGGACGGGGATGTTAGGAATATATATGGGAACTTGAGAAGCCTACCCATCGATTATATACGGTGGACAGAACCACCATTCCTGACCATGTAGGGGAGGCATGCCAAAGTCAGATTTTGCAGGCCGCACGGGCCCGTCACCCGGCAGCCCTGGGGTAGATTCATAATTTAAAGCCGAGATTCAGGAAGATTTTAAAGAAACAAAAAAAGGAAATGCAGTCATCAATTCATTAAAATGTGACCGACGTGAAATGAAAAATATTTTTAAATGCATCTAATGGAAGATCATCATCGTGACTTTGTATTAGCTTTTAGTATTTCCCAGTACAGCTGCAGAGAGACTGGGTGAAACATTGGGAGCCAATCGGGCAAGTTGCAGCCACAGGTGTTAACAAGGAAAATGCCGACAGGAGGAGAGCGGAGAGAGAGCTAGACTGCTGCTTCTCCATACTGTCCAGCCATGGGCTGGGGGTAGGGAGATGACCTAGCCTTATTGCCAGGGGCATCCCAAGACTGGTGTCACCCGGAGCAGGTACCGGGTGACACCCCGCCGTGCCGCCATTGCACGCAAAACATCGCACATGCGTGGCCATCTTGGTGATGGACGCCAGCAGAGAGAGAGGAAGGAACTAAACAGACTCAACAGGCTAAGCAGATTTCCAGTGCTGGTCTTGACCCCTCCTGGAGCCCACACTGGCCACCTGAGAACCTGAACAGCCTCCTGAGAGCCTGCACAGTCCCCCTAAACCCCCCACAGCTCTCGCGAGACCCTGGAGACATCAAGTCGCGAACCCAGAGCAACACAGAGTATGCAGCTTCATAATATTCTGCATTGCTGTATAATGTATTGCTAAGATTTCTAGTCCCTCTACAGCTTGGAGTCAGTGGCAGATCTACCAGGGTCGCAGTTGCAATCGGGCCCTAACATTCCAACACTGACTCACGCTTTAGAGAGACTACAAATCACAGCCCAGACAGGAGGAAAAGGGCCCCAGTGACCATCACCATTTCCATAAAAAGGCCCACCAAAATCCTCAGCACCAGGCCCTGGACCCCATCCCTCCCTCTCCTGCCACCTCCGACTAACCCATCCCTCCCTCTCCTGCCACCTCCGACTACCCCATCCCTCCCTCTCCTGCCACCTCCGACTACCCCATCCCTCCCTCTCCTGCCATCTCCGACAACCCTATTCCTCTCTCCTAGCACTTCTGTGTCACTATTCATCCCTCCATCATCTCTCCCCTCTATCCTCCTGCCCAGACCCCTTCCTCTTCTGTGGTTCTGGGTGTCGTCGCTCCACTTTGATCTCTGCTTTTTTTTGTGTCCTCCTTTTTTCCCCTCACTAAAAACCACAAACAATGTCCACGGAGGGGGTGAGGGAGAAAAGGGAAGAAAATAAGGAAAGGGTAAAATACAGGCCCCTATCACTGACATGAGGTCAACTAAAACCTCTAATAAGGGTAGTCCTGTTAATCATCTCTTTGAAAGTCCTAATTGCAGGATTTCTCTCCTTCTACAAAACACAAGGATGCAGGCGATCATTCTTTAACAGGCGTAGGTCAACAGATGCTGTCATTTCAGTTAAAGCACCCTGAGATCCACCAAAACTGGAATATAATTTTTAGGTATA